CACTCAGGTGAGTTATGACAATGTCGTCATACTCTCAGGTGTGTTATGACAGTGTGGTCACACGCTCAGGTTAACGAGTGATAGCAGTATTAACGTGGTAGTTTAGTGTAGGCACTGCAACACTGAAATATTATAGGAAAGAATAGCAGACACAATGACAACAGCAATGGCAAACAACGGCATCAAACCACATCATCAGACAACAACAATAACATCAAACAACAACAACGACGACAAACGACGACAACATTAACACCAAATAAAAACAACACCAAAAAACAACAACAACAACAGCAACAAAATAAACAACATACAACAGACAAAGAGCAACAACAATAATGCACAACAAACAACAACAACAAACAACAACAACAAACAACAACAACAAACAACAACAACAAACAACAACAACAAACAACAACAACAAACAACAACAACCAACAACAACAAACAACAACTCTGACCGCGCTTCACTCACGACCCCTCTCTCTCCCGTCTCCGCTCACCAGGGGGCATGCCGGCGCCGTGCTCTGCGTGCAGTTCGACGACACGAAGGTCGTCTCGGGGTCGTCCGACCGCACGATCAAGGTGTGGCGTCTCGCCGAGGGCGCGTGCCTCATGTCGCTCGTCGGCCACCAGGGGGCGGTGACGTGCCTACAGTACGGCGCGCGCCAAATCATCAGCGGTTCCCTCGACTGCAACATCAAGTTCTGGGACCTGACGACCGGACGTTGCACGGCGACGCTCGACTGGATGAAGAGCGAAGGTCACACGGGGGTCGTCAGGTGAGCGTAGAGGTCGTGCAGGGGTCACGGGTTCGTGCAGGGGTTGCGGGGTCGCGCGGGGACCTGACGACCGGGGCGTTGCACGACGACGCTGGATTGGATGAAGAGTGAAGGTCACACGGGGGTCGTCAGGTAAGCGTAGAGGTCGTGCAGAGGTCACGGGGTCGCGCAGGGGTCACGCGGGAACCTGACGACCTGGGCGTTGCACGGCGACGCTCGACTGGATGAAGAGCGAAGGTCACACGGGGGTCGTCAGGTGAGCATAGAGGTCGCGTGGGGGTCATGGGGTCATGCAGGGGGCATCAGGTGAGCATAGAGGTCGCGCATGGGGGGTCGTTGGTTCAGCGCGTGTGTGGCGCGGTTGAGATCATGCATCCCATCGTGAACACCAAAAATAGTTCCGGCAACCTGCCTCCATCACGCTTCCTTGCCTCTTCGTGAGTGACGTCAGCACAGCATCGTCTGTCCCCAGCTAACACTTGTGTCGTCTGCTTCTCCATGTACAGGTGCCTGCAGGCAGACAGCTGGCGAATTCTGAGCGCCGCCGACGATCGAACGATCAAGGTACAGCCGATCGATCAATACACGATCAATCATTTGCCTAGTCAATGTATCGGATGCAATTAAAAATAGATCTGTTATTTTTGACGTTTATATTAAGTGAGGGAAGACCCTCTTGGAACATATTGATGGTTTATTTATGGTCCCCCACTGTCTCAGCCTTCTCTGTCTCAATGAGTCACACTGACCCCCTCATGTCTCATGTCTCGTGTCTCTACAGGTGTGGAACCTTGAGACGGGGGAACGTCTCGTCATTCTACGGATCTCTACTGTCTCACTCTAATCTCTACTGTCTCACTCTCCTCCTCTGTCTCAGTGAGTCACTGACCCCCTAATGTCTCTAACAGGTGTGGAACCTTGAGACGGGGGAACGTCTCGTCATTCTACGGATCTCTACTGTCTCACTCTA